TTTAAATATAAATTTATTATATATATAATATATATATATATATATATATAAATGATACAATACTAAATATCACAATAAAAGCCTAAATATTTATATAATAAATATTTATTTTTTTATAGCGATACTGAAAATTATATAATATATGTATATTCTTCAAAATTAATATTTTTTTGTTAAAAAATAAACAATTTTTTTAAATAGATAATATAATGAATTTTAAGGTATATTTTTTCAAGTAAATTATATTGTTAAGGATTTTTTAAAATTAATCTTGAAAAAGTATTATAATAAATTTAACATATTTTTTAAGTGAATTATATGTTAATAATTTCTTCAAAGTTTATTCTTAAAAAACAAAAACACAATATTTTGAATAAAAAAATTAAATAAAGCGCAACAAAAGCACTAAAGTTTATAGATATCATACCGCCGAGTTTTGTGGTTTCCGCCCGAGAGTAGCAGCGGCAATTATGTGATTGTTTATATGTATATATAATACATGTATGTATATGTAATGTGTATATATATATATATATTTATAAATACGTGCTTGTTTATTTATGAATTTAAAATTTAAAAACTGTGTGTTCCAATCAATTTCACAATGGCCAGAAATCATTTGTGGATTATAACGTTACAACAATTCATTAACACAATAATTTCCACTCCGTTTCTTTTTCACCGCAACAAGTGAGGGTCAGGAGAAGGCAAAAAAAAAAAAGACAACCTCGGAACAAAAGTAAAAAAACACACGCACATAACTTTAGATGTAGTAAGACTTTTTCAACACAGAGAATCAAATCTCTCTCGTTCCAACAATCACAAAAGCACTCGTGGAGAGGGTGAAGTAATACACCTTCAAACCCAGATAAGCATTTCCCTCATTTCAGAAGCTTGGAAGCAGCTCTCCAAAAGTAGACGTGTATTCCCGATACTGAAATTGTTAAAAACAACGTAAGGATTTTCGAGTCATTGCATTCGATTTCTACAAAAATTGGCTCCTCTAATGGATCAAAATGATTCTTGATGTAAATTGTAACCAATTGAACTAGTTGCTTCCTACCCCAATCAGCATAAGATGCAAGAATATAATGGAAGTTGAAAAGAGACCGACCTGCTTCACGATTTCCTGGGACTTACTAACTAGTTTCTGCACTTTAGCTTCTCTGGACTGTTTCACTTCATTAGCCTTGGCAGTATTGGCATCGACCTGTTAATCAAACAAGAACCCTCGTGTCAATACCCGAACATCATGCAGAAACGAAAAAGACTTGTGAAAAATTCGGAGCACGGGTGTATTACCATAGCTACTACCGACTCGACCTCTTTTTGTCTGGCTTCGAGATATTGTCTTTTAGATTCAACTTCCAGTTTGATTTCGTTCAGTTGTTTAGTCCACTCAACAAACTTGATTTCTCTTTCTTTCTCTAACTGCTTCAATGATTCATTCAACTTATCCGCTGTTGAAGAATGGGAATTAAAGCTTCAGACTCTCGAGTACGAGGAAAAAAAAACAACATTAAGGAAACATTCTAAACGTGAAAACTTGCCTCGTCCTTGCCGCTCAACCACTTTTACCTCGAGGGATATATCCATTAACCCGTCATCGCTCAGCTTCGCTTTCAGAGCCTTGAAGTCTTTCTCAATTGATTTCGCATTGTTTACCTGTAATATCATCAAAACTTTCATAAGGAAGATACATCCAAGGGGAACTTTTCATCTATTCAGATAAATCCAAAACATCTATGTCTTTTCACCTAACAGGGTTCAGTCTACAAACAATATAAGAGGAAAACATAGCTTTTTCATGGTTACCTGTTCGTTTATTGTCTGCAACTGAGAGGATGACTTTGACATTTTCTTGAATGCCTGCAAAAAAACACCCAGGGCCAGGGTAGCATCAAACTGGGTTGCCTTCTGGCATAAAACAAATCTGAGCGTCAACCTATTCAACTTCACCATTGAAGTATGGAGTAAAACAGCGCTAAGATGAAATATTATCCTTAAATTTACAGCTTATAGTAAGGGTTGCATCTAAAGAAAACTGATTTGTCTTGAATTTGCCCTCCTCCTGAATGCACCAAAGGAGAAATACCATGCAGTTCTTTCTAAAATTCCTGAATTGCATGGAGTATGCATGAACAAACCCAATGATAGCATAATAAAATCTATATTGAGCAGAACTAACTATGTTATCGGATACCAATAATCTGACTTCATCACCTTACAGCCGTACCCTATAGTATTCCTAATTGACGACCGACAATTTAATAAGATGTAATAAATTCATTGATATAATTAGGAGAATGCCGAAGTATAGGGTTGGTCGATAATTCAGTGCCGGTATGAGATACCTTGGCATAGACCTCAAGAACAGCAGCCCTATCCTGGTAATTTTGCAAAGATGATGCTTCTGCGTTCTTTGTTTCCTCACAAACCTTTCCTCTCTCCTGTAAGGCCCCCTGTCACCACAGAGAAACAGTTCAAAAAATACACAACTTCACAGTACTTGCAAATTGCGATGATATGGAGAAAAAGAGATTTTCATTATTAGGTGAAAATCATCCAAATTATCCAACAAAGAGTGAATCAGTTACATGCTCAATGAAACTGGTACCGGTAGGAACAAGAACATAACCTGTAGTTTTTCTGGTGACTGAACAATTTTTGATCGTAGACTTGCACTTTTTTGGACAGTTTGTACAAGTTCAAACTCAGCTTTGGAAATCTATTGGAAATGAAAACTACGTCAGAAGCGGCAAAAGCCTGTCAAATACAAATCGAAGCAAAAAACAACCCATGCCCTTAAATTAAATCATCTCATTAAGAGCCAAGAATCCATATGCCCTATCCCGAGCTTCCTTAATCCTTACCTCCTTATCCATATCTGTAGTCTTCTCCTTCAGCTTCCTGAAGGTAGCTCTCAGTGCCACCTGCTGATTGTTCAGACCCAAAATCGTCTGATTCAGTTCTTCAATTTTCGTTTCTAGCTCTTGGACAAGAGGCAATTCCCATTCCCTTGATTCATCAAATTCTGCAATCTCTGCATTCAACTGCAAGAAAAGCCATTACGAAAGAAGACAATCGCCATCCAGTAGGATGCATTTTTATCGGGCAATACCTGGGCAATCTTTGCCTCCCACTGTTTCCGCTGCTCATCGAGGAGGGTCAATTCTTCAAATTTTGGTCTTATAAGATTCATTTTTGAATCACTAGAGCAAGAAAGAAAACAAACTAGATAAAAGGGAATGCATGGAATCTTCTGGGACCAATATATTACATAAACTCCTTATGAATGCTAAAAGTTCTGCCAATCTTTCTTTGGAATTCCCCTCCTTCCTTCCTAACCGAAGTTTGTCATTATACCAGAACCCCAAAAACTCAAGTCCATACTCTCGTTCAGTACCAATCTCAAATAAGACGAGGATCTTAATAAGAAAGAACACGAGTGAAGCTAAAAAGTCTTAAACATACCATTGCCTAACACTAGGCCTATATAAGATATCACAAAAGATAATGTCTAAAAGATCTGAGAATCTTAAACATATGTACTCTATCAGTACTACTGAAAGCTTTCTATATTTTAACTCGCATTGTGGGTTTATAAGCAGATGACAAAACATCCCTCAGTCAATGATATTAACGAACTCAAAGCAGGTTAAAGACATCAGCAGGATGACGTACTTGTGAAGACCAAAATTTAAGAGCGCGCTGATGAAAAACTCAGAACGAGATGAATCAGGCTGTAACAAATCCTTCAAAGTAAAATTAAGTGGGCAACCCACAGAATCCAGCTTCTCTTTCACTTTCCTGTACAGATTCGTTGCCTGGACTGACCCAACATGAAGGTCTGGGTTCTCAAACTGCTCCAGAGCATCAAAATCCATCTGCCCCATATCCTCTCTGCCAAAGATTTCATATTGAAAGCCCAAAGTTCATAAATTCAATTGTAGAAACGGAACATTTTTTCACAGTCAAGGTTATGGATTCTAACTAAAAACGATATAAGATGAACATGGCGAAAATTACCAAATTAAAGGAAAACCAAATTGGGGGATTAGGGTTCACCCAACCAATTAAAAGAAACCGGACTATTTTCGCAATAACTTGGACAACCCACAATCGTAGAAGAGGCAAAAAATCGGAGAAAAACTGAACAAAAGCAAATGAATGCTTTTGCAAAATTCGAGCACCGCACTGGAACTAAAAGCATTAAACCATTAAAAAAACAAAGATCGATGGGGGATTTGCCAAAGTAGAAGAACTAGGGTTTCAGAATGCATACTCGTTGAGGATATCGAGATGGACAAGAAGGTGGGTGTAAAGCTCGGAGATGAAATCAGGGCTAGGGTTCTTGAGATCAGCATCTGTAACGCTCGCGATCTGAGACTCTGCAAGCGCCGTGATAATGTCGGCCCGAGAATATCTCGGGTACTCGTACGCCGACATAGCTTCGTCGGAGGTGGTCGAAGAAATTCGCTTGATTTTTGCCCGAGAGAGTGAAAATAACTGAGAGGAGGACAAAATTTTCTGGGGCTAAAGGGGAAGTGTGTGTGGTGATTTTCCCGCTGAAAACGAGGCCACGCATTTCAAAGGAGAGGCACGTGGCATCTTAGCATCTGCAGCTAATCTATGCCGGCCGTCGGAATGAATATAGGGTGTAGGGGTGGGAACGGTTCGAATGCTCGCGAAAATCGAATTATTTGGATTTGGATACGGCATAGTCGAGTATTTAATTATAAAATTTGTATACGAGATTTGAGTCTCTAAGTACAGATATCCAGAATAATGGTCGGATACTTACGAATATTTGGATTCGGATTTATTTAAGAAAAACAATAATATTTATATATAAAATTTTAAAAAATAAAGTTATATTTATAAAAATAGGTGAATTGCGATAAAAATATAAAATAATAAGAGATAAATAATAATATAATTATATTTTATAAAAATATTATATAAATATAAAATATAATTATTTATAATCATATTAGTCGGGTACCCGTTTTTAAAAATTATATTATCCGGATTTGGATTCGGATTCATGGATATTGAAAAATTCGGATTTGAATTTAGATTTGAAAATTACGAATACCCTAAAATCGGGTATCCGCGAGATGAGTATTTGACGAATACTCAATTTTCGGGTATTTATGTCCACCCTAATAGGGTGGACGCGGATTTTGGGTACCTGCTGTCACGGGTATTTGGATATGAGCGAAGATGGATTTGACGAAGTCAAAAATCCAGATTGCGGGTTTGAATTCGGATTGTGTTTGAACTTTAATGGATACAGGAAGATATCGGATATAAATACAATAATATTTATATTTTTGATATTTTTTTACGAAATTCTAAAAAAACACTGAATTTTTCAAAATTTAACAAAAAAACTAAACTTTTTATTTTATCAAATAAATATTAAATTTTTTAAATTTGTCAAAAAAACACTTAACTCTTCTACGATTGTCAAAATAAACAAATGAGTTGACGCGACATAACGAAATACAAAAACGTCAAATTATTATCGTTGGTTTTTTAAAAAATTGTATAAAAACAATTGCATAAAAGTTTATATATTTTTTTATCATTTAAAAATTAAAATATTTTATTTAACTTATTTAAAAATTTTAATGTTTATTTAACAAAAAAATCAGTATTTTTTGTCAAAATTATAAAGTTTAATATTTTTTTTAGATTTTACATATTTTATTTAATATATTTATAATAATATCTAAATATATTTTAAATTAAAATTTTAAAATATCTTTAAAATGAATAAAAGTTAAAGATTTGTTCTTAAATTTTTAGCAGCTTTGAGTATTTTCGAATAGTTAAGTTTAGTTATATATAACCGAATACAAATATCTAAGTTTCACAAAAAATGAAAACTAGATAATATTTTTCTAAACTTTGTGAAGACAAAGACAAAATCAGATGCCTCTAAAAATTAGGATATTCGACCTATACCCGATTCATACCCATTTCTATGATCAACAAAAATGAGAGAATCCGAAAGAAAACTCCGCAATAAAGAAAAAAGGAGAAATCGCCAAAAAAACTCTATACTCTTTCCAGGTCGATGAAAAAATCATTTACTTTTTTCGTTACTAATTAAACTATATATTTGGTGTGATTGTCGCATAAGTAACGACTTGTATGAATGGTGTATTATTATTATTATTTAATATTTATATTTATTAATATTAACTTATAAAACCTCGAACTTTTTAAAAATTCAGCGAAAATCCCCCCATTCATTTACCAACTTAAACAAAAATGATGATGTGCCAATTCATGGCCTCCAAATCATACATACATCATTATAATTATGTCATGTTATCATTTCAAAAAAAAAATTAATTGAATAATTTATTTAAATTAATATATATACATAGGAATTCACACATATATATATATTTATATATTAAAAATAAAATTACTTATAATTAATAAAACACATGTACATATCTACAATATATATGTATATTATAACTAATACATATATATATTAAAATAAAAATAATTATAACTAACATATATACATATAATATATATTAAAAATAATATGTATATGTATATATATTAGTTATACAATCTCTGTTATAATATATATATATATAGATATGTATATATGTGTTTTATTAATTATAAATAATTTTTTTAAATAGATATATATGTATGTATGAATTTATATATATATATATATTAATTTAAATAAATTATTCAATTTAAATTTTGTTTGAAATAATGATATGATATAATTATGATGATTTGTGAATGATTTGGAAGATATATAATTGTCACATCATCATTTTTATTTGAGTTAGAAAATGTGAAAGGTTTTGGGTGAATTTTTAAAAAATTCAAAGTTTTGTGGATTAATCATATCAAATATATAGTTTAATTAATAAAAAAAATATAGAATTTTTTATCGCGTAGGTAAATGGGGGAAATAGCTGCAATACCCTTTGACTGCTATAAGGACTTCTGATACTACCCTTGAAAAAAAAAATAAAAAAAAAAGACTCTTTCACATGGCATAAGACCACAAAACCCTCAAATATTTATGAAAAGATCAAAAACCCTTGTGTTAAATTTTAAAAAAAAAACTTAAGTAAAAAAAAAAAAAAGAAAAAGAAACGATGAAATGGTGAAATAGTAATCTCTCTCCTCACTCACATCTTCTCTCTCCTCACTCACATCTCAGCGCTCTCTCTCTCCTCTAACTTACGATTTTCTCTCTCTCTCTCCTCACTCATGTCTCAGCGCTCTCTCTATCCTCTAATTTAGACAAGGAGAAGATTTTCCATTGCGTAAGCCGACGCTCCAAACCCGAGGACAAAAGCAATCACGGTCTACAGGATAGAATAGAACCCTAATTTCTGGAGCTGTCATCTTTCAGTTTTCTGAAAGTTTTTAGACTAGAGGTTATAGATGAGAGAAGCTAAGCGGTAACAGTTGCATATGTTCGAAACCATGGGAAGAACTCGGTGGTGGGCTTGGTTTGGAGTTCCTGAGCTTTCCGGCGGATCTATGTCGGAGGAGGCGATTCGATGCAAACAGGTAAGAAAGGTGAAGAAGGTGATTCGAGTTCCTTCTCTATACATGAGAACCTTCTTCTCGCCAATGCACAAAATCTCTTGAAAGAGAAGTATTCAACGTCATTCCACTGTGACGATGGAATTGGTGAGGAGGATTTCTAATGACTGAATGCATTACGGAGTCCAAGTTTCTAGAAAGGGCTTCTGTCACACGGAATATAGATCACATATATTGTAAGATTACATGGTCACACGGTCACATGGTCACATGGTCACACGGTCACATGGTCACACGGTCACACGGTCACATGGTCACACGGTCACATGGACACATGGTCACACGGTCACACGGTCACATGGTCACACGGTCACACGGTCACATGGTCACACGGTCACACGGTCACATGGTCACACGGTCACACGGTCACATGGTCACAGTCACATAGTTACATTGTCACACGGTCACAGTGTCACACAATGATATCTAGATAATATTGCTGACATATGTTATTTTGTTTTGTAGCACATGGAAGAGGCGATGTATAAACTCCGAACCCGTATTATAAAGCATCTCATGACCTATATAGGATGCAACTACTTGGTGTGTGATACCATGTTCATAGAGTTGATCAACGCATGAGTAGAATCGGGAGACATGACAACTTTGGGCGATCTAGAATCACACTTCAACGGAAGAAGAAAGCATGAACTTTTATTTTTTTAAATGCTTTGTTTATATTATTTTGAACCCTAACGTGATCTACATAAGATGCAACTATTTGACTTGTGATACTATGTTCATAGAGCTGATCAACGCATGAGTAGAATCGGAAGACATGACAACAAATATTTCAGAAGACGAAAGTGTAAATTTTTAATTTATTTCACTAAATTTACTTTGTTTATTTTGTTTTGAACCTTAACTATGATATGTTTTTCTTTATTTGATAGTAGACTAAATTATGAACTCTTATATTTAGTTTTTTGTTTATTAGAAATCTGAATTTATTTATGTTTTATGTAAAATATGGGTCTAAATTATTGTATGAAAAATTTTAAACTTAAATTGATGGAGAAAAAAAATATAAGGTTAAAATAAAATTACGTTTTTTTTCAATTGTGAAATAAGTTAAATTGTCAAAGTAGTCCCCACAAGAAATCTAGGTTGAATTGTCAAAGTGATCCACACAATGGAATAAGAGAAAAATTATGGGTTGAAAATATTATAGGTGAAAATTTGGGGTTAAAAATTGGGAGGGAAAAAATATAGGGTTAAGAGGGAAATTATATAGGGTTGAATATTCAAAATAGGTCTTATATTAAAATTAAAAATAGAAATAATGATTGTGGACCCTAGGAAACATAAAAATTTGGAGAAATTCTGACTAGTTCTTCTTGTGGGTCTCACATCACATTTCGGTCACAATGGGTCAAGTCGGTCATAACCTTCGATTCATGCGATTTTTGTCAATTTAATTACCTACAACGTTACACATATCTCATAAGCCTATTCTCTATTGTTTCGAATATTAGAATATGGTTTTTGCGATTTTTATGTTTCAAAATTGTTCTTCCAAATGTGTTTCTATATATTTCATAGTGTTTTATGAGTGTTTTTGACAAATTTGGGATATTTCTTCTACAAACCCCTTAAAATATTTTGAAAATTTCTCACATACACTATATATTTGATATATAGACCCTGATAAACCACTCCAAAGCTTAAAAATTAAATTTGGGTCTATATTTATCAACACATTTCGGTCACGGGTCACAGTCGGTCACAATGGTCACACAGTGTAAAATTGCACTTCGGTCACACGGTCACACGCTGGTCACAATGGGTCACAACGTTGGCTCATGTGAGTCAATTTATTTAGTGTACAACACGAGTCAGATATATACGAAAATACAAGGTTAAAAATACAACGTTGGCTCATGTGAGTCAATTAATATGGTACAGACACAATATTATCCAAAAATTTTAACACATTATTGTACAAATACATTACAAAATTATTAGGGTCTTTGGATATTATTGTACAAATGGTTTGTAATACGTTAGTATACAAATATACCAAACAATTATTACAGAAATTCTGGTTATTTTTGCACTCTAAATTAGTTGTTCTCTCCTCATACTCATAATATACATCATCTCGTTTTCCACTACGTTCAACAATACTTCCATGAGCAAAATTATAGGTTGTGACCGAAATATACTACAAACGAAAGAACTGCGGAAAGAACAACAACTAGAAGAAAAAAAACCACAAAAGCATCAATGTGCATGGAAAAAAATCGGGATTTCTACACTAACTTACATATTTTTAGTTTCTCATTGATTTTCCTTTGATTTCATCCGATTTCTGCAAATTTTTAGGACAAAATATCAAGATAAATAGGAGAGATAAAATATAGAAGAGAGAGAAAGCTCAATCGAAAATAATGGCGGAAGGAGAGAGAAACGTGCAAAAAATGGGAGGAGAGAGAAACTTTAGAAAAAAAGGAAAATTTTATTTTTTATTTTTTTAATTAAAAAATTAAAAATGGGAGGATAGAGAAACTCCAGAAAAAGGGGAAATTTTGTTTTTTTATTTTTTTAATTAAAAATTATATCTTAAGGGTATTTTGGTAATATGTTATTGAAAAGGATAGATTGGAAGTTGAATTTTTTTTTTTAAATGAAGAGGGTAGTAGGAGAAGTGCTTGTAGCACATTAAAGGGTAATTTGGAAGTTGACCCAGGTAAATGATTGTCGATTTCTCCAAGAAAAAACAAACTTTGGTACCTGAAATAAGGAGAAAAACCTAATCCAAGGTTTTTCTGTAAATATTTCAAAAACCTAGGGGCAATAACCTTACCCAAGTTTTTCTGAAGTTGCTTAAAAGGGGTAAAAACGTAACTCTATTCTTTTCGAGTACGGCAACAAATCCCCGGCAAAACATGGTGGGCATAATAAATGAAAGAAAGAAAGAGAGACCGTTGGAGATGAAGAAGCTTCCCCTCCCATGTGCTCCTCCTCGATCCCACAAAAAAAAACTTTTTTTTAACTTCCTACCAGTTTCAGATCTTCTCTCCATCTATCCTGGGTCTCTCTCGTGAGAGAAAAAATGGAGCATCTGGCGAGAGAAGGGAGATCTCTGGCGGAGACGCCCACCTACTCTGTTGCTTCCGTCGTCACCGTCTTGGTCTTCGTCTGCTTTCTCGTCGAACGCTCCATCTACAGATTCGGCAAGGTCTGAATCGATGCTTCCTCTCTGTGTTCGCTTTGTGTTCGTCGAAATGCTTGGATTCAACCCTTTTTCTTCGCCTTCTCGATTTCAGTGGTTGAAGAAGACCCGAAGAAAAGCGCTCTTCGCTTCTCTAGAGAAGATCAAAGAAGGTAAAACGCATCGATGGATCATGTGTTTTAATGCCTGATTTCGCTGCGGGTTGACTAGTGAGTGAGATTGTTGTTGTTCTTGGTAGAGTTGATGCTTCTGGGGCTTATATCGCTGCTCTTGTCACAATGCGCGAGATGGATTTCGGAGATTTGCGTAAACTCTTCGCTTTTCAGTAGTAAGTTCTATATTTGCTCTGAAGAGGATTATGGAATCAACAAGAAAGTGCTATTGGATCATAACTCTTCCACGAACAAGACTCACCATGGATTGCTTCCTCACAGATGTGGTCAGGTAAATAAATGGTTTAGGTTTTCCTATCGACTCCTTGTGATGCAAATTCACTGATTGTTGGTGGAGCCAATGTCAGGGCCGTGAACCGTTTGTGTCATACGAGGGCCTTGAACAACTCCTCCGGTTCTTATTTGTCCTGGGTATCACTCATGTTCTCTATAGTGGTGTTGCCATTGGTTTGGCTATGAGCAAGGTACACAATCTAGCTTCTGAATCTGAATGAGTAATGAATGTAATGGTTCATCTTCTTTTTGTACTTCTGATCTGTTGTCAGTCCCAATAACCGAAAAGAAAATATGATCGATCAATCATGGAGTTCTAGTTGTCTTTATCGTATGCTGCAGATCTACAGTTGGAGAAAATGGGAGTCTCAAGCAATCTTAATGGCTGAAGCAGATGTCCTAGGTAAACGACAGAATGTATCTCTGATAGATTTCATATTGAGGTACACGAGAAACTGTATTAGTGATTAGAATGAGGTAAACCAAAGGAGACGTCCTCTTAGGATTTACAAGATTATGACATTGAAGTAGTCACACGGAGCGTTTTGGGCTGATTTTCGGTTTCTCTGCATTGGCATGAGCTTGCTAGAATCATACGAAGAATGCATTACTCTTCGCTTTCTTATATTCTTCTTATGCTCGTCTTTTCCTATAGCAAAGAAGACTAAGGTGATGATGCGGCAATCTACTTTTGTATTCCATCATGCCTCTCATCCTTGGAGCAAGAATCGGGTCCTCATATGGATGGTGACTCTCCTTGCTTTTCCATATAACTTTCCTATGTTTCCTATGTCCAACTGAGAATATTTTCCATATAGCTAGATCAATATGAGATTTATAATTACATTAGACTGTTGTAAAGCCAAGACCTTTACTTATTCCTCCGATATCTTTGCATATATGTTTGCCTAAGTAGTTCCTCCTCAGTTTGAAACTTGATTTATGGTTCCATATCTGCAGCTCTGTTTCCTACGTCAGTTTAGAGGCTCCATTCAGAAATCTGACTACTTGGCTCTGAGACATGGTTTCATCACTGTAAGCATCTTTCATATCTCACACTTTGAGTTCCTTGCACATTATTTCTCAGTTTACTGATTCCTTCCTTCATCATTCGCGACTTTCAGAAGCATAAATTGCCACTTACATACAACTTCCACATGTACATGGTAAGGAGCATGGAAGATGAGTTTCAAGGCATTGTTGGTATCAGGTAGGCAAATATGAGACCTTTTAATCGGAATGATCAGCTGGGAAAAGGTCAAATGAAACCACATTCATTTTGAGCTAAGGATGGCCTTAAAAACTCAGGATCTCTGGTTTGAGCATATTTTTTATACTCCAGTCACTGCAGTTTCAGATTAGGACTGATTATTTTTTTTTCTAATCACAGCTGGCCGCTCTGGGTTTACGCTATACTATGCATCTGCATAAACATTCACGGTAGCTTGTGAGCTATTTGAATACGAAATACGCACCATTTATTCAGTTCTGTTTTACTAATTCAATGATGTTCTGCAGGCCTGAATTTGTACTTTTGGCTTTCGTTCATCCCTGCCATTGTAAGTATAATCCGGAATAATTAGTAGAAAGAAATTTCGAAGTTCTTGTGACAGTAACACTGAAGCAAACTTGTTTGTGTACTTTTCCTGAAGCTTGTTATGTTGGTTGGAACAAAACTTGAGCAAGTTGTGTCCAAGCTAGCACTTGAAGTTAAGGAACAGACAGGCACTCCTGCCGGGGCTCAAGTCAAGCCACGGGATGATCTGTTTTGGTTTGGGAAGCCAGTGATTCTATTACGACTGATACAGTTCATCATTTTTCAGGTATCAAAAGCATATTTACTTCCCCAAATTCATCGCGTCGTTTCCCGTAAATGATACATAAAACGATACCATATCTTTTATTTTTCACACAGAATGCGTTTGAGATGGCAACATTCATCTGGTTCTTAGTAAGACCTTTTTCCACTCTTTCTATTTCTATCGGTATGTAATCTGCGGTTTCATCTTGAGATACACAGTTCTAAGCTAGCATTACGGCACAATGTATATTGCAGTTCCCTATATCGCTTCAAATCACAGACTGAAAATTACATACTGAGTTCAAGAAAGTTCATGGAAAGTTTTACATGGTGTCTTAAGAGTAAGTTTCTGTTGTGTCTCAGTGGGGAATCAAGGAGAGGTCTTGCTTCATGAAGAACCATGTAATGATATCTATTCGACTGGTTTCTGGGTTCGTTTCTCTCACAACTGCGTATGATAATATCCATAGAACTTTAAAAAAAGAAAGATATAAGTAGTCTCTAATGGTTTCATGTTTCTCGATTGGATTTGATGGAGAAATGCAGGGTTCTTGTCCAGTTCTGGTGCAGCTATGGCACGGTGCCTCTTAACGTAATCGTCACTCAGGTTCGTCTATATATTCATAGTCCTCATGATGTTCCAACCAATTTTTTCTGTTTCAGTTTTGAACCATCTCATCAATGGTTAAGCACCAATGCATATAACTGTTAAGAGTCCCACATCGACCATATGTGGGAATAATTGAGTCTTTATAAGGCCCATCGATCAAGTAGTCGACAATGTTGTGGTCGTCGCTGTCTAAGGGGACGGTATTGTTAGATTCGGAACAATTGAGCCTTTATAAGGCTATGGACACTCTCCCCAGTAAAAATTGCGAGTACCACTCAATCTTTGGGTTGGTACTTAATCTCATGAACTTGTCCACCAACAATACAAGTATGGATTCATCATCAGCAGAAACCCGACTTTTGAATTCAAATTTGGATTTTAGTCGGGGGTACCTGTGTCCCCTGAGAGCCTAAGGTCGCCAGGTCGATTAGGGCTTAGTTGTGCCGCACCTTGCGGTACCCAACCCCCACGAGGTCAAGGTCAGATGATCCAACCCAAAAACCTCGCAAAATCTCGCAAGTATACAAAACTCGGGTATCCGATCCCGCAAGGTCGAGGTAGGGTAGTCTGGCCGAATAACATAAGAAGGAGAGGTGGTCGAGATCAGATGTTTTAACACTACAATGACGGTTTTCTTTTTCTGGCATGCAAAAACAACAGATGGGGTCGAGGTGTAAGAAAGCAGTGATAGCGGAGAGCGTGAGAGAATCACTTCACAGTTGGTGCAAGAGAGTGAAAGAGAGGTCCAAACACACAGCAAGATCTGTATGTTCACTCGACACAGCAACGATAGACGAGAGGGACGAGATCACCGTCGGAACCTTATCCAGAAGCTCCTCAATGACTTCACTTAATCAGATCACCATCACCTCAACCGAGCAAGCGGATTCCATATTCGGAGATCGAACAACGGCGATGGCGACGATGACGGATCGAGAGGAATTAACATCGAGGGTCGAAGAGTATTTGTCGGATACACTCAACATCGATGCTTTGCAGCCTCTTAACGATGATGAGATTGAAGAAGAAGAAGAGGAAGATAACAATGGGGACGGCCGTGAGGTGGATGATGCTGGTGAGACGCTTCTTGACTTGTTTAGGAGGACTTGATACGATTTATTATGTTGATATAAGCTTCTTCTAAATCTTAATTAAGTCAGTAATTAAATTGCACTAAAATGTACAAAGAAAGACAATGTCATCTTTTTACATTTATTTCAACGCAGATTGCTTTATTTTTGTTTTTATTTACGGAAAATCAGATATAACATAGTGAACTTTGTTAAACATTTCAAATATAATACTATTACACTTTTTAATCTTGAGAATTTTAACAGATTTTCCTATGAATACTAATTACTAACTATCGAAATTTTGAGAACATTAAATGTAGACAAAAAAATACTTTAGTACAAATAATAAAAAAACAAAACTTTTTAACATTTTACTAGAACAAAACCCGAAACGAATCACAAACCTTAGTTTCTTTGACCACACGTACCTTAAGGAACAAGCAAAACTAGTTTTCCATTGTCCAAATTACTTAAAGTGAGAACAACAAAGAGTAAGAATGCATAGATAGATGAGTAAGAACACATGCAGCAATCTCTCAACAACGAGAGAGAGAGAGAGAGATTAAGGTTGTGTCTTAAACAATGGCTTCTTCTTGGTGGGTCTGAATCACGACATCAGAAGTTGGGTAAGCAACACAAGTGAGGACATACCCTTCCCCGATCTGGTCATCGTCCAAGAAGCTCTGGTCAGACTGGTCCACGGATCCCGTCACCACTTTCCCGGCGCAGCTCGAGCACGAACCGGCGCGGCACGAGTACGGCAGATCGAGCCCCGCCTCCTCCGCTGCGTCGAGGACGTAGACGTCGTCGTCGCACTGGATCTCGGTCTCGCCGTCGGGGGTGACGAATTTCACCTTGTAAGTCGCCATGGCGACGACGCCGCCTCCGCGGGAGGAGGCGGAGCTGAGGCGGAGGGCGGGGGAGGAGATCGCCGGAGATAGGGATTTGATAGTAACGGGAGAAGGAGAGGGTTGGAGGGGGAGGAAGGAGGTGCTGAAAATGGCGCCGGAGAGAGCTGTTGAGGAAGCCATTGTTGTAGAGAGAGAGATCGAGAGATAAGAGAGATTCCTCTACTTCTTGTGTTTGGCTCGTGGAAATGGCGTGGGAGGGATGAGGAAGAAGATTAAAAGGATGGTCATGTGAACCCTATCTGCCGCGTGGCATTGGTTTTGTGGGTTGCGTTATCTCTATTACTCCCCCAAGGGACCTTGGTGTTAGAGAAATGCTGTGTCTGTCACATTTTTAAGAACCAACTTATGTTGGTGTGTAACAATCTGTGGTCGTACTTACTTTTGTTAATTTCTCTGTCAATGACTATTGGTCTCTGTAGATAATGAAGATTCTAGTGTTCTTTTCTTGGGTGCGTATATACATATACACACATTATACGTACATTTAAAATAAGACTTCAAAATATTTTTCAATTTTGTACAATTTCAACTAAATTATTATCATTTTTCTTCGCAAAGTTTGAATTTGCACTCAAGATTGAGAGGTTCAGATGACAAAAAAATGAGTAAAGATTCTTCTCAATCAAAGTCCTGAGTATTACACGTAAATTTCTCCGATTTTTTGAAAGATATAATTGGACCCAAATTTCATTAAACTTTTGGATTATAAAAAAAAAGGTTTGAATATGCTCTGTGAAGTGACTTCTGAATTGAGGTGGATGTTGTAAACTGCCAAAAAAGTATGAACCATTTTCGTTGTTATTAAAAACGAAATGAATGCCCGTGAATGATGTGTTCTCATTTTATTCCCCGCAACCAAAGCAGAATGTATAAAATAGAAAATCTTTGTGGCGGTTAGCTACCAACCCTTTGCACTTGGTCTTAGGGTGGCCATTTTGGGTTTCGTTCGGTTTTCGGTTCGTTTATTTCGAATTCGGTTATTTCGATTACAAAGAAATTATACTCAAACAGTTATATAGATTTAATTGGTTCAGTTTCTGTTCGGTATATGCATAATAAAATTATAATCAAATGGTTAAATTTTATCGGTTTATTCGGTTCGGTTATGACATTTTTTTTTCAAAAAAGAATATTAATCATCCACAAACTTCAAAATATCTATCCCAATAAATTTACAAAATAATTAATCCTCCAAAAAAATTACAAAAAAATCTACAAAAACTTCGATAACTAGAATAAAAATTAAAAACATTAAATGTTGTGGTTTATTTGGTGAAAAACGTAAAGATAAAAGTGAACTATAAGGAAAAACACTAATAATAATTAGGATAAAAGTTAAAATATTAAAAAATCCTAATAACCATTCGGTTAACCGCGGTTATTTAATTATTAACCGAACCAAACCCGAACGATTATTCAATTTCTTCAACCGTTCGGTTAATAACTGAAATGGCCACCCCTACTTCACCTTTTATAGAGATGTAGAGCATAAAATTACCAACTTCCTATCTAGTTATCACTGTCCCAATTGAGGAATTCATAACATGCGTTGACTCTCTTACCACCTTAAACTGTCAATTTCATTCCGAATGGTCCATCACCAAATCTTAATTTTCTCTCTCTACTCGGCGAATAATATGCCCGAAGAACCGAAAATGCATTAAAGACATTTGAATTTTGTACAAAAACACTCGAGCATATTCCTATTTAACAGGGAACTTTTTTTTTCTTTAAAAAAAAGAGAAGCTTCAATTTCACGCGGAATCTAGTCTATAGTTGGGATTATGGGACAAAGAAAACAAATACTTACATGCGAAAACCCTAATATGCATATAAATAAAATTCCCAACTCTATCAAGAGAGAGCGGATACTACATTTAATTCATAAGAGGGGGAAAAAAAGAAAGAAAACAAACGGAAGAGAACAAAAACTTACACGAAATGACTTCTACACCCAACACTGAACCCTACTGATCAATAAAAACAAGAAACAAAATGCACTACTCCTTATTACTACTCTCTCTTAATTCTTTAACTAAATCTAGAGTTACCCCAAAATAAGTAAAAGGGAAAAAAATCAAAAGCTCTAAGAAAGCTCCCACCTTCCCCTCAATTCCAAGACTACATACACTACGTATATATATATGAACTTGTAAAGCTTCTTCTTCCTAAAATATAATCATCCCCGGGCTTGTCTTCTTTCTTTCTTTTTTTTATATCGTTAAACTCTCTTAGTCACACTTGATGTTTCTGTAGATCCTCCTAACAAACAAATTTGACCCCATGTATCCCACCGCTCCTGCGCAGAAAATTTAAGCAATGCCCAATGCCATTCATTACCACTAAACCTAATTCCAACTAGGAAGAATTTAAGGTGCAGGATAGAGCGGAAGCAAAGAAGGGAAAAAAACTCACCGCAGAGAATACCGAGGCCGAGGCAAAACATCAAAGTGTAGCCAAAGTAGAAGCTCGTCTGGAAGAATCCAAACATCTTGGTCTTCACGTAGTAGTAATAGATGGAATACAAGTATACGTACACGGCAGTTGATGCTGCCGATAAGAAGGACGTCCATTGCCAGTTGTAATTCTCAGCGTTCAGCAG